AAAATAAAAATAAAAAAAAAAAAAAANAAAAAAAAAAAAAAAAAACAAAATACTTAATTTATGATTATACCCTTAATTGCGGCTTTTAAAGGGCATAATGTGTAAAGTCGTGTGGCCATACTAAAAACGAATTTATTTAATCAAAAATAAAAACCATTACAATTTATAATGCAGCTTTTCCGTCATATTTCAAGCCGTTTTATTCCTTTAAAAATCTAATTTCCTATAAATTCATTAAAAGCTTTTACATAGCGTCATCTATCTTTTATAAAATATTTTCTCCCCCTCAAAGAGTTCGTCATAAAAGTTTCATTATTCATTCGATAATCGCATTTCAAACAATTTCTCCCATTTTATTCGTACAAAAAAAAAGATGAATTTCCTCTTTTCACTAACAAATTACAATATATTAAATAACAAATGCAAATCATTATAACCGAGACGAAACGTCGATTCTCTTATGTCTCTCATAAACAAGAATAAAGTCGAAACGAATCAGAATCAAGACGATCCACCATCGTGGTCACCGCTGTTTAACGAGATTCGATTCTCTAATCAGTGCTTGTCGCGTGTGTTTACGCGCGTCACGTCGCGAAAACAACAAAATCTAATCTCGATCGGCTCAGAGGCAGAGCTCTGGAGACACCTGGACTCCATGGATAATTTCCACCATGGAATTTCATTTCAGAGAGATCCCAAACAAATGAGAAACAAAACGCGGATCCTTTCGTTTCGTGTTACAAGTCCATTGACGAGTTTAACCGCGAACGCGCATATTCTATCAACCGCAACGGCGTTTAACCAGGGATTAAGTTTTATCGGGCACCGGCCACGGGATACGTGAAATGAATACAGTTTAATGCGTTCGATTGTTCTCGCCTTGTTATCTGGTTTATTGTACGTATATACACTTGCCAATTACCGAGTACGAAAGCGAAACCGATTCCATACCGATTTTTAACGATTATGCTTATGAAATAATGCTTAGTTAATTCGCATTAAGGTGTAATCGTGGCCGATTTAATAATTGCTTAATTAGGACTTGATAAAATGGGACAAACAAGTTTCTACGGATGCATTCGTCGGATTGCACGAAGTGTGTAAAAGAAATCGGAAAATTGGCTGTCAATCAATTATTTAGATACTCGCGTTTCTATAGTGTGTGTTCTTTTTTCCGTATATTGTTGATGATAAATATTGAAATTTAATTATTAATGTCAATTTACTTGATTAAAAGAAAAATCAAAATTGAAGATTGTTACGTTACAATGTAAATGTAATTCCATTTGAAAAGAGAGAGAAAAAAAATAATAAATACGAAAAGACCGTTATATATGTATCATTTAAAGGATATTACGAGAAAAATAAAATTCTCTCGATGCGATAATATAAAAATGCAAAACATAATTTTCACGATGTTGTTTAAATAAAATAGAAATATACGCGTAAAAGAGCATAAACGTTTGCTTATAAATCCGAATGTAATCTAGACAGTGGAACGAAGTGTCCGCAGAAATTGCTGCGGCAAACCGATAATATTCTCAGATAAGCGATAAGAACCATCGATGCAAAATATCCAGTTACAAAAAACCGAATGCTACCGGGATATTTACAAGCCCTGTAAATGCGATAAATTTCGATCAAATCACATTTTCTTAAAAATTAACAATTGCTCGGTGAATATTTTACATAGATAATAGGCTGAATCGTCGGTGTCGCCTCGATGGTTGACGCTAAAACGTCGGATGAAACGAGCGTATCCTTGACAATGTGCGCTGAATATTCGGGTCACATCCTCGATCAGACTTCCTTCGCCGGTGGACTCGAACACACGCACACGCGCGAGACCAGAGAGGAGAGCATGTAAGGCCGATTAGACAGGATCTAGAAACGTGTTCGACGAATTATAACGATTTAAAGTGGGACATGTGCCTATACATCCTATACATTTTCCTCCTTCTCCTTTCGTCCAACTGGGAATAAGGGAGAACGACCCTTCAGGGAAACAGCTGTTGAGCGATGATGAGAAAAGGACGGAGGTCGGGATTCGGAGAATGACGGCGGAGGAGAGGGCAGACAGAGTGAAAAAAGAGGTTACCACCTGGCTTACCTGGCTTGTGCTTACCTGAAAACCGTATACCTGCCCGGGCATTCTTTTGTGCGGGGCCCGGGGCACGCACCCATTCCCAGACGACATCCTACAAAACTACACCGAGCCACCAGGCTACTGCCGTGTCGCTTGAGAAAGACGTTTCGAGAATATAGCTAGAAGATGTCCTTGATATCGTGCATGCGTATCAAGGTGCTTGTTCTTGCACCGTCCATGTCACTGACTTTCGCCTTCTCTGATGACGTCCACTTTCGAGTTAAGGTCATTGGTAACATAATCGAACCATTCTATTCTTCGCGCGGCTTTCGTCGAATTCAAGTTCGACCAGTCCAGTGATTTATAATCAGTAGTCGAGAATGTTAGAGTTGAAAATACGTCCTGGTTTTTTTTTTTTTTATTTTACCATCGTCACGGTGATGCAGAGTAGAAAGAAGTTTTATAAAAATGTCGCGTGCTTGTATAATTTGATGTCTGGCTAATGGACACGATTGATGCATTAAGAGAAGAACATATGGCTCGGTTACACGCGTGTTCCTACTTTTTCTCGCGCGGAACCGCTCGCTTCAAGGATCATTTCATGCGGCCTCGTTTCCGGTCCGTGCGAAGGCAGATGCAGTTTCATTCCCGTCAACAATGTCCGTGGAACCACATTCCGAGGAATCGATGAATTCTCCGGCCCTTCTCAATTTTCTGACTACGTCGAAAATCTGGCCAGATGGCGAATAACCATGGTAACTCGAACCGTCGTAAATATTATCATCAGCTCGTAACGAAAATTTAATGACAACAGTGCTGATTCACTCGCCGGATTCTTCTCTTAATCGTTAAACACAAAGTTTTATCACTGTTTTGAATTTGTTTTCGCAGAATTACAGGCAATCGAGATTACGACGATTGTTATTTGTTTTGAAAATTATAATACAGTTGTACTTCTAACTATTACTATAAGCCAATAACAATAATTCGTAAATTATTTTAATTATGTTACTTATAAATACGTAATAGTGAATTATTTTTCTTTCTTTATTATAAAACATTTATTATAAAAATCAGGATGACATATAATTTATAACGAACTTAGGACTAGGATGAGGGAATTAATATAAATATCTAAAGGAATTGTACAATTTATATAGGAATAGATCGTAAAGCGTCTTGTAGCTTTTTCCTTGCTAGAGCAACTCGATCCTCTTGCCTCTTGATGTCTTCGTCAGCTATCGAGACGGCCTGAAACAAAAAAGAAATTAATTTATCGGTTATATTTCGACAAGTAGTTCTGTTAAATGTTTGATTTAAAAATTCTCTATCGTTTTCGTCGATATACCCTTTCAAACCTCCAGTACATAATTATTTACATTCCGTAATAGGGTGTTTAATCAAGATATTTGGTTAAGTGTATGTAACACGTAACGCAAGTTAAGTTTAATATAAGCACCCTATTTGGTATCTAAATATCTATTCTACCTGTACGAGGGGTTGATCGGGATTAAGAAATACCCCGGGATTTTTCTCTAAAGCTGTCTTCGAACCCGTTTGTCCCGTGACCGGTTGAGACGAAACATGTAATGCAGTTGCAACACTTTGAAGCAAAGTTTCTTCCGTAATATACGGACCAACTGGCTTCAAACTTTTTGGTAAATCCATTCCATCGAATTCAAATCCATCTGGATCACATGCTCTTAAACCTTCCAAACGTTTTTCCCAAAATAACTGTAAAATTGAAAAGAATACTTATATATAATTCATCATATTTATATGAAACAATATGTATCTTATATAATCTTATACAAAACAACGAAATGAAAATAACGAAATAATATATGTAATAGTAAACTTACTACACATGAGAAAT